ATAAATTGAAAATAAATCATAGTTCAAAATTCATTGAGACAAGACTTGCAAGTACAGGGTATGAGATACCTTTTTTATTTTTATAAAATTTAAATAAATACGAGGGCAGTCTGAAAGACTTGCGAGCTTTATGTAAATGCATGTAAAAATAAAAAATGAATAAGCCATATACAAGAAAACTTTGAAAATGTTAATAAAAAAAATTTTTAAGCAGAATTTCAAAGCAAAATATAAATATATTAAATTTATAATATTCTAGATTTTTATGTTTTTACTTTTAGTGAAGATAAAAATTAAATATAATTTAAGAAAAAACAATTTAAAATTATTTTTATATATTTTAAGATAATGTCAGTTTATTTTTAGCTTTTTTTGGCTTCTTTTTAGCTTCTTGTTGGCTTCTTTTTGGTTTCTTTCACGAACATAAGCTCTTTAAATTGCAGCTAGTCAAACATATATATCCCATGTATATTCCTTCTGCATACCCATCAAAAGCACAACTTGGCATACCCTATATAGCACAGCTTTATTTCAGTTCATGCAAATACAGTGAAATTTAGCCGCGAATGTCGCAGCCATTGCAGTCGGAGTTGTGGACATAGGAGCCGCCTGGCACACGTCCGCTATAGCCCTCGGGCACCACATAGGGTCCTTCACCGGCTGCACTGCCACTGCCACTGCCACGCCCACTCTGGCCATTGATATAGACAGTGCCTTGTCCGGGGCGACCCTTGTACACCCGATCGCCCACCACTAAAGTCTCAGCATCGGGCGGCGAGCAATCCTGACAGACGCCATTGATGACAACAGCAGCTGGAGTGAGGAGTAGAGGATAAGCTGCTGCTGCTGTTGCTACTGTCGCTACTGTTGATGCTTACCTGTTGCCATGGCCAGCAAAGCAGCAAAGAGTAGAGCACCAGCAAATAAGCGCATTGCAAATGTGAATTTCATCTGTTCAGCAATGAGACGAACGGAACGGCTTTATATACAGCTTGGAGGGCTTTGAGTTGCTTATCATAGACAGTGCTGGAATTACCCAGAGGCAAAGCTGCAACCGGTTGGATTAGACAAGGTCAACAACTAGCATTGCTTTAGCTGGAACTGGAGAGTATTTTTTATTGGATTTATAATCGAAACCCCCTCCCATTACATGCCCCATTAGCCGTTTATGTTGCAGCCGACGCAATCGTCGTTATGCACATAGGTGCCGGGACGTCCACGTGTATTGATTGTGGTCACACGCCCACCTGACCAGCCACCTCCGCTGCCTAGACCCGGATCAGTGATAATTTGCTGACGATAGATCTGCCTCCTGTGGCGACCGCCTCGCCAGATACTCTGCGCTCCATAGCCGCCCTGACCCTGGCTCAGCATCCAGCCATCAAAATCGTCTTCATCCGAGTTCTTATTGCTCTTCGGCCGGGACTTGGACTTGGGCGTGGTCGGAGGACCTCGCGATGAACTGGGTCGGTGTGTTGTCGCCCCATCCCTATGGCAATCCACACAGGCCCCATTGATGGTCACCTTGCCAGCTAGAAGAACAATTCCCATTCGTAATCCCTTATCGTATACCTGCGGCACTTGACTCACCTCTGGCACAGGTGGCGAGCAGCCCAACAATCAAGAGAGCGAGCAGCGTCAGGCACCTCATTTCTTTCCGTTTAACTCTGCTCACTGCAATGGATCTTTTATACTAACTTCGAGGGGGCGAAATTGGCTAGAATCGTGCGCGATTCGCAATCGAGATAGAGATTCAGCTGGAGCTATCGATAGATTGCCCTCCACTCAGCGTAGACCCAATGCTATGCATACTAGCAATACTAAATACAAAGTGTATATGTTACATAAACTGTATATGCTAGAAATGTGAATATAAATATGTACATATATATTTGAATATTATTTATGTACATCATGTGGAATTGCCCGGATTATCAATACCTTGACAGCCATCGACAGCTGTTGAACAAAGCTGAACTCGCGACACGTTTCATGTTCTGATTAGGAGATTGCACTACGTATGGGAATTATGATACATGTATATTAAAATTTTACATATGTGTATTTATGTATGTATATATATATAGACTATATATACTGTATATAGTTAACTGCGTATATAGATTAAAATATATAATTATTTATAAGCCATTGATAGAAGATAGAAGAATCGGAAAGGTAAAATATAGAGAGAGAATTTGCTTACAGAAGGTGAGAGAAACAGAGAGGCAGAGTGAGAGAGATGGAGAGAGAGAGAGAAGGAAAGAGAGAGAAATATAGCGAGAGAGAGGTAGAGATAGCGAGAGAGAGGTAGAGATAGTGAGAGAGAGGTAGAAATAGCGAGAGAAAACGAAAGAGACAAAGACAGAGACAGATACAGACAGAGAAGGCGAAAAAAAAAGAGTGGTAGAGAAAAAGGAGAGAGAGAGATAGAGATAGCGAGATACAGAGAAGGCGAGAGAGAGAGAGAGAGCGAGAGAGAGATAAATTGAGTGATAGCAAGGAAAGATTTGTAGAAGAGGAAACAGAGGCAGAGGTTAGCAAGAAAGAGAAAACCAACAGAAATAGAGGAAGGGAGAGGTAGGGGTAGTGATAAAAAAATAGAATATAGAGGAACAGAGCAGGATAGAAAGAACGGGAGTGCAAGAGAGAAAGAAAGAAAGCAAAGTCAAAGTTGAGAAAGTGATTTGATACTCTCTATTCTATCATATTACCTTATTATAATATCTATCCTCCAGAAAATAGTGTAACTGAGTTCCTAATAACAAAGAAGGTGCTACTCAGAACAGACCTAATGCTCCAATTTTGAAAAGTCCCAGCGACTGTGATAAGCAATGCACTTGCGCCGTCTACACGGCTTACAACCGGGAATTTCCACATTCCCGTACGATCGTTCGCCTCTAGCTGAGCTCTGTGAATTTCCCGATCGCATTGCAGCTTAGCCCAGCTAGAATATAAGATCGTAGCTGAGCTGTCAGCAGCATCAGTTCAACTCAAGCCTTTGTCGAACCAACAATCAACAACAGCGAATCAACATGAAATTCTTCTCAGTTGTCACCGTCTTTGTGCTCGGTCTCTTGGCCCTGGCCAATGGTGAGTAGCAAATGCTCAAGCATGGGATATATGGATTAACTAAATATATTTCTCTCTCTCTCTCTCTCTGTCGTCCTCTCTCACTTTAGCTGTTCCATTGTCGCCCGATCCAGGCAATGTGGTCATCAATGGCGATTGCAAATACTGCAATGTCCATGGCGGCAAATAGACGTACCCAAAGGCCTTCCTCTGCGGCTCAGCCTCTCCTAGCTTACCTCAATCTGCTTGGCACAATATATTTATGTACTCACTGCGTTTCAAAATCAACTTAGCAATATAAATAAAATATATAATAATTACAATGAAAAACTAAAAACCAACATAGAGTTTTCATTATTCAGAAATTCTAAATATTATATGAGAAAACATTTTTTCAGGTGGGAAACTTGAGATCATTAATGAATCAATCAAAAATATATATATGAACGAAATTGAATACTAAAATATTAGAATTAAAATAAACAAATATATATATGAATATACAGACATTTGTAATATAAATATATAATATTTTTCATTTGATTTATAAACAATTCTTAGGTATTTCAGCCTGCATTCATTTACAAACTTGAACGATTAAATATGTTTATATGTATTTATCACATTGAAACGAACAACCAATAAAAATAAACTTATATACAGTAATATTTATTTATTTTTTATTGTTGTTAGTATATTCTTAATATTTACAATACCCAACTAATATATACCCTGTCTTGTGCGTATGGAAAATATTTTATTATGATATACAAAAATGTAAATCATATAGCTCTACATAAGACTATATATTATGTAATTTTACATTTTATATACTAAGTACATTATCTATGTATAATTATCCTATATATACAATATGAAATATTTATGCACCTAAATATATCTTATGCCCATATCATAAAAGTATAATTAGTCAAAATTCCACTTAGTGACTGGTATATCCCAAAGATTTTACTTATAGGGAAATGTGAAATTGCGTAAACACTTATCTGAAGGCTGTAAGTACTCTATAAGCATTCTACAAAGATTCATTATCAACACTATTAGAAATTATAATCTGTGTCATCTGTGCTCATTGTTTTCTACATACCCTATAAAATATATCAGTCAAAGGCTTACACGCTTAACAATAATTATATCAATTAATTAATATACAGACGCAGCACGTCATATCTTCAGCTGCTTTTAACAATTGTACTATTCTCTAGAAATATTAAAATCAGTTTTATAGAACTGCATATGCACTGTATTTTTCTTGGAATTTATGCATGCTTCGACTTGTTTTCCAATCAAAACAACAACAGCAGCGATTGGATATAAAACACGTTTTAGCGCTTTGTCGGAAATGTATTACGAAATTCAGTTAATTAACATATAGAACTGTGGGGCGCCACGCTTCGAACGTCGCAATTGATATTGACCATTGGATTTCGATTGTAAACAGAGACAAGTGCAGCAATAAAATAAGTCACTAGGTGCCTGATGCATGAGAGAGATACCCTGTAATGAGAATTGAACTTAAGATCAGTGTTATATACATGGTAAAGTGAGATTGAGAGATAGAGATAGGGAGAGAGAGAGAAAGTGATGGAGTAAAATGGAGTGATAAAAAGAGAGAGAGGAAGATAGTTAGAAAGAGAGAGAGAGACAAAGACAGAGAGAGAAATAGATAGTGAGAGTTTAAGAGAAACAGAGAATGAGAGAAGAGAGGGAGAGAGAGTTAGTAAGACATTAAGAGAGAGAGAGAGAGAGAGAGAGAGAGAGTGAGAGACAGAGTGAGAGAGAATTAGTGAGATTTGGAGAAAGGTAAATGGAGATAAAAGAGCGAATGAGGGAATGTTAGAGCTAGAGAAACATATACAATAAAAAATGGAAAGTGGAAGACAATACTGAAAGAGAAACAGAGTTAAAACGAAGCTGAAGATAGATATTGATATAGATGAAACTAAAGAAAAAGAAGCAGAGAAAGAAAAGAACATAGAGAAAATTGAAAAATGAGAGGCGAAGACAGAAGTGAAAGAGAGACAGAGTACAAGAAGAACATGAGATTAATAGAGATGAAACTAAAGAAACAGAAAAAAAAGAGCGGGACAGAGAGATGGTCAAAAATAATTAATAGATATAATTTCAGGTATTCATTCATCTATCCATCTATCTCTGGTTAGAGTAAAATCCGAGCCTATCTCGCAACGCAATTGGGAATTTTTTCAGCTTGAGCCCGACACTGGGCAATTCCAATTCAGCCGAGCTCAAAGCTCCAGCTGCCAGCCCCAGCTGCAGTCCCAGTATCAGTTGATAACGCAGCGCAAAAACTCATTGAGCGCGGCTGCTATAAAAGGCTGGCTGACCAAGTCGTTTGGCATCAGTGCAATCGCAAGTGCTCCAGAGTCTTCATAGCAGTCGTGCAAAACCAAAAACAAAGCCAAGTCAATATGAAATTCCTGTCGCTCGCCTTTCTGCTCGGTCTGCTCGCTCTGGCCAGTGGTAAGTCGAACTATTCAAGAGATTTAGCAATTGAGCATTCAACTAAATTTCAATCCTCAATACAGCTAACCCACTGAGTCCTGGGAATGTCATCATCAACGGCGACTGCAAAGTGTGCAATGTGCGTGCCTAAAGGCTCGACCTCAAGTCCTTGCCGCAGGAGCAGCAGGAGCAATGAACAACTGCAGCAGCAGCAATAGACAAATAATTTAGTTTCAAATATGTTCAATATTATGCATTTAAGTACAGCTACAGCAGGAATAGCTTCACCAAATGTTAAAGTATAATTTTTAATGCCTTTTTTAGCAAATAAATAAAATATACAACAAAAGTATGTAAAGATTTTAAGTAAAACTGTTTTCAACTATTTTTTACACATTTTATTTTTAGCCTTCATATGTTAAAAACAAGGGAAAATAATAAACGCTCAATAAACTATTGAATTATAATCAAACGTAATATATTGTTTCTGTGCTTTATCTTATGATGCTTAACCATATGCCATGTACCTTCTGGTCAGCATAAATTCACTACTTTTCATGGATATCATTTAATCTGAAACGAATATTCATATTAACATATATATATATATATATGTATATATAGACCTATGATAGGCATAGAAGCTACATATACTATATATTTAAGCTTCCCCACTTTCCATGAAGAAGAAGAACCTGAGAGAAAAAGAGTGAGAGGAAGAGTGACAGAGAGAGAGAGAGAGAGATAGAGAGAGAGAGAGAGAGAGAGCTCTTTGTATATGTCATTCTTCAGATTTTCTTCTGTCTATCTCTCTTTCTTAGTGCTTGTTTATTTCCGTCTATTACTCTATCGCTATATCTATCTACTTATCTCGCTCACACCTGCATTTGAACATTTTAACTTTTTATTGCCGTCTCTATTTCGGAATATCTCTATCTCTTTGTCTAGCCATTTCTCATTTTCTCCCAGTGCCCCTCTTTTTCTATTCCCGATTGTAAGTATAATCATAAAGAGTATCTCTCAGTCGAATCATTATTTTATATAATCTCTACTTGCATACTTAATATATATATTTGAAAATCATCTAAAAATATGGATTGTATTTATTTTCATTTTTTTCTCATCCAATTGACAGAGTTCACAGAGATCAAATAATTTGTGCTGCTCTAGGCTGGGAAATACCTAGGAAATACTATCTCTGCTGTGATGAGAGCATGCCAAGCTGACTTTAGTCTCAATCAAACGAATCTGTAAATTGTTCCCTATATAAAAGTGCATGATATAGATGACTACGATTCAGATCGTGTGGAATCGTTGCTGTGACTATGAAATCAATTGCATTGCAGCTGCTGCTTTTGGGCTGCCTTCTGGCTGCTGTATGCGGTAATTGAGATTTTCACTGAAAGTTAATACCCTATATTATATATATCATATATACTTTTACCAACAGCCACGCCTGGCAAGGTGATTATAAATGGAAAATGCATCGATTGCAATCGACCAGATGGTGACGATTCCATCGTTGTTCCAATCTCTGCCTCGGGCCGTCAGGCCTTGACATCAGGCGCTGTGGGCTTTGGACTTTTGTATTATATTATAAGCAAATTTGTTCATTAATAGTAATTTTTAAATGAAATTTTTATAAATAAACAAATGTTTATATATGTTTAAAAATATTAAGAATGTGTCTTATTTATGAATATAGCTATATTTTAATTACAGGGTATTTTCTAAGTGCCTATCTTTTTTTCTCAGACGACGTTGATGATGTTATTTTACCAGCGGCTTCTAGCTGTTTGTAATATAAGCTTTGTTTAACAAATCTATTAGATTTCCCTCTCTAGTTCATTCTCAGCTTTTATGTTTTATTTTCCTGTCGTATCGCTCACTTTCTGACTCTCCCTTTCGCATTCATTTTTATTTTCTCTGTTACCTTTTTTTCTCATTTACCATGTCGCTATGCCTCTGGCTCGCTCTATCTCTATTCACCTGTTCCTCTGTCTCCCTCTCTCTCTCTCTCTCTCTCTCTCTCTCTTTCTCTCTCTTATTACCTATCTCTTTTTACGCTTTTCTCTCATTGTCTGTGTTTTTTCCTCACGGTCCCTTTCTATGTTTCTCTCATTCCTTCTCTTCCTCTCTCTCTCTCTGTCTCTCTCTGTGTCTCTCTAACTCTTTCTTTTCTTACTTTCTCCCTCTATCTCCGACTCTCTGCTACTCTTTCTCTCGCTATCTGTTACAATCTATTTCTGTTAACTCTTTATTTTTGGTCTCCTCCTCTCCCCTTCTTGTAATATTCTTCAATACTCTGTACGTAAAAATGGCATTCTATATATGAGCTAATGGCATTCATCAATCATTAATATTTTCGGTAAATTTTTGTCTGATTATCCAAATCAAAATTCCAAATAAATATGAAAATATTTATTTCTTCACGTCATTCAAGTCATTTGAACTCGACTTAGGCACCCTATAAAAACATTTTGCATATATTCAATTGTGCGGATTTTCCCAAGCAATCTCTTAGTTGACCTGTTATCAATTATACAGTATATATATGGACATATACACATATATTTCTACGAGCACTCCACTGTTGTCTATTGAGCTATATAAGTGGGAAAGGTGATTGCAGTTGTTTCAGTTCCGTTTGCGAGGTTGACTCTGAATAAGATGAAAATTCTATCGATTGCGTTTCTGCTGGGTCTCTTGGCACTGGCCAGTGGTACGTAGGGAGTGAAAGAGTTCTATTAACTGTTCTTTAATCTCTCCCTCTCTCTCTAACTCTCTCTCTCTCTCTTTCTTTCTGTCTCTCTTTAGCAACCCCTCTGAGACCTGGAGATGTGATAATCAATGGACATTGCATCAACTGCAATGTGCACGGAGGTTGAAGCAGCTACAATTTTAAATGTTTACCTGAATTGTCTCATAAAGCGAAAAAATGCTGAAATAGAAAATATTTTCACACAACTCTGTACACTCGTTGTTTTTAAATACAAAAACACATATTTAATATTATAACTTTTATTTATTATTATTAATCGCCTCGAATGTTGCAAACTTTGCARTCGCCATTGATGATCACATTGCCTGGATGCAGCGGATTAGCTGTGAATAAATGCATATTGGAATTAACTGTAATTGGGGTATGCATTTAGGGTATGCCCGACTAGCACTTACCATTTGCCAGAGCCAGCAGAGACAGCACCACAACCAACGACAGAGACAGCACTAAAGCCAACGACAATCCCTTCATGTTTCCTCTTGTTGCGATTTCTCAAACGAAACTGTTCGCGGGAGCTGCTCGACGAGTCGCTTTTATAGCGATACCGATCTGAGGTTTGACTCAACCACTATAATTATATAGTTTTTTTTTTTTTTTATTGATAATCGTTTATTGAAAATGCGCACTTGCTTAATTTATGTCTATGCTGAGACAGACTCATAGCTAGGTTAACTATTTGGTCGACGACAGTCTAAGATCTGATAAGATCAAGGTAGGGATCGTACGGCTATCACGTTTCCTATTGATTATATAGAGTAAATTGTGATTTGTTAATATAAATATGATAGACATTTGTTTCATATAATGTAAAGTTGACTTTGATACTCTACAAGGTAATATATGAAGAAAATATATAATAAAGATAGATGGAAATTCAGAGGGAGAGAGAAAAAAGACAAGGCGAGCAATAGTTGTATAATTCTTACTAGCTTTATCTAATATTTTTTCTCACCCTTTCGCTGCTTTGTTAGGGTATACATAAGTCGAACACCTAGTCTGAACTGTCTTTATTCTATTGAAAATGCAATTCATTCATGTAAAAGGCATTTACCTGCTATCGCCTCAGTTATTACATAGACAGCTGACAGATACATGTGCATATGTAAATATATAAATATTAAATGCGTATATGGAAATAAGCGATTACTTATAGCAACTATGTAGACGTAATCAAATCAGCTTAATTATTTTTACATAGCATTAAATATCAAGTTGGGTATGTAGGACTATGAAATATTGTGTAAAATTTTAAAAGGGTTTAGGGTTTATATGACAAATTTCGAGTTTGTAGAGTCTATAAAAGCTGAGTTCAATGAGGTATATTAGGCAGTACGATAGATGGGATAGGTTAGGAATGTTTTAAAAATGGAAAATTCAAAATTGATACTTCCAGACCCCATGACTCCTCAGTTCAATGAGATATAGATGGATGGATATGCATTAAATGCATCCACTAGGATGGAAATGCAGTAGACAACAATTTAAGTAAAATATATTAAATTGGTAGCGTAAATAGTATAGAGTATATAATAGAATGTGCTTACTTATATAGCAATTGCCCTGTAATTTATAGAATATTACAATTTTTAAGTACACATTTCATACGACAAAGAAATCTTAAAGCCCAAGTTAAAAAGCCCTTAAAGAGAAATGTTTAGAAAAGTTTGAACATGGCCAACGAGTTGGGCGGGTGAAAAAGTATATGAACGTGTTTGTGGTTGAATTCAGTTACGTTGGCTAAGAGTTGCGTGGCATGGGTATCAGTGTGTGTGTGTGTGTGTGTGTGTGTGTGTGTGCGTATGCGTGTGTGTGGTTGGCAATTAAGCCAATGAAGCATTAAAAACACCAGCCAAGGGCGTAAGCCATGCAAAGTGAACTGAAATCAGAGACTGGAATGGGGAGGTACACAAAAAGGATATGGGAATGAAGCATGCTATCTCACTCACTGTATCTGATTCGCTTTCTCTCTCTCTCTCTCCCTCTCAGTCCCTGTGTATATGTCACAGCTTGGCTTTGGGTGGATTAGCGTGGATGTTGCTGTTGCTGCTGCTGCTGCTGCTGCTGCCACATTTGTCAATGTAAAAAGCATTACGCTTAAATGAACCCATGCACATGCATAAATACGCCAAAGCCAACGCGGCGAACAGACGACACGTGTGCGTTAACAATTTAATTACGCCAAATAAACCACCCACCCACCCACACACACACATATACACACGCACACAGACAACCACCCAGCCAACAGATGTTGCCCAAAAAGTTAATCACCCAATCGACGGGCAGGTCAGCTATATTAAAGACTTACAACCGGGAGAAATTTCACCAGCTCGCAAAGCCATTAGCCAACGCTTTGTTTTCACGTGTGTGAGGGGTGCTTGGGGGGTGAGGTGGAGTTGGCTGTGGGCTCTGTAATAAGCGGGTGTGCTGGCTGCTATGCCTAAGAAAGCTAGGGCCTATTTACTCAAGCTGGTGTGAAAATATGCCATGAGTGTGCATATACGAATAGAGGTTGAGCATATGTGTGTGTGTGTATAGGTGTGTGTATGTGTGTACAAATATGTCAGTGGCAAAAGCTGTTACACAGAAAGTTAGATACAGGCAGAGTCGGGAATGTGTACGTATGTATGTATGTATGTCTGCCTCTAGGCAGTGCGTGCTAGGACGAAGCTGCAATGCGCTTTAAGCTGTGAGGGAATTTAGTTCATGATACGAAACTGGGAATATGGAAACTGAAACATGTAAAACTGAAATTTAGAATGGGGGAACTAGAACTGGAATTTAAAATATGGAATATATGTTTGATATGCACAAGATGGAAACCAGAAATGAAATTTGAAATATGAAAACATATACTTATAATATGTAATCTGAGCTACGGAATCTGTAATATGGAATCTGTTTATGAAATTCAAATTGAGGAAGGAAAAGAAATAAGTTACAAGGAATAAGGAGTTAGGAGTAAGGAGTAAGGAGTAAGGAGTAAGGAGTAAGAAGTAAGGAGTAAGGAGTAAGGAGTAAGGAGTAAGGAGTGAGGAGTAAGGGGTGAGGAGTAAGGAGTAAGGAGTAAGGAGTAAGGAGTAAGGAGTAAGGAGTAAGGAGTAAGGAGTAAGGAGTAAGGAGTAAGGAGTAAGGAGTAAGGAGTAAGGAGTAAGGAGTAAGGAGTAAGGAGTAAGGAGTAAGGAGTAAGGAGTAAGGAGTAAGGAGTAAGGAGTAAGGAGTAAGGAGTAAGGAGTAAGGAGTAAGGAGTAAGGAGTAAGGAGTAAGGAGTAAGGAGTAAGGAGTAAGGAGTAAGGAGTAAGGAGTAAGGAGTAAGGAGTAAGGAGTAAGGAGTAAGGAGTAAGGAGTAAGGAGTAAGGAGTAAGGAGTAA